CCCCGCCCCAGCCCGTCCCAATTGCCCGGCCCGGCCCCACCTTTCCGCAGGAAGGACTTCTTGCTCTGGTCCAGGAGGAAGCTGGGGGACAAGCTGAAATTACTCATCTTGTTCTGCTTCATAGCCTGGAAGGAGGCGTTGGCCACCACCGCGTCTAGCGCCTGGTCCTCCAGCTCCCTGCCCAGGAACCGGCAGATCCGTTGTATGCTGCCCCGCAGGTCCTGGGGGGGAGGGGAGTAGGGACGGGGATCAGTGGCAAGGCCTCCCCCGGGGGCCCTCCAGGCTTGGGGAAACTGAGGCAGGAGACCACAGGTCACACTGGAGGCCATCAGAAGGGGGCAGATCTTCCTGGTGGGGACTCCCAGGCCGAGGGGACCTCTGGGGGGTGGAGGGACTTTGCCTCCACCTTGCCCTGTGGGGGATCATGGCATGGCTTGGAGATGGGACTCCGGAGTCCTGGCTGGGATGAAGGAGGCCAAAGGTGGCCGAGGGACTCCTGGGGTCTTGGCTCGACTTTGCCATTGAACTGCAGGGGGTCCTTGGGCAAGTCATGGGCGTTCTGTCGTGCCTCAGTTTACCCTTCTGACCCCTGTCTGAATATACTTGGAGCACTGCAATACTGGGATTGTCTTGTGTGTGTCTGGGCAGCGCCCGGCCCAACGGGGCCCTGATCCTGGTCACATTTTGCCCAGGTGGCACAAGGAAGCAGGTGAGGCAGTGCCCAAGGCTCAGTCCCTCTGCCTCTCCCCGGGGACGGGGTCCTGTGTTGCTGCTGCATTTTGTGATGCTCGTCCCATCTCTGCTCCTGCCAGGCTCAGCCTGGGGGCTCAGCTCAGCCTGCTGCCTCGCAGAGGTGCCCGGATAGTCGCTGCTCAGCCAGGGCTGGGAGGCACCATGACTGGGCAGACACCGGTCCAAGTGCCCTGATTTCTGCTCCAGTGGGAGTCACCCCACAGACCCCCATGTCCGTGGGCACAGGGTCGGTGGGCACCCCCAGCTGCTGGGGTGGGGCAATCAAGCAGGCGTGGGGGTAACAGGCCGGAGCACCGAGCTCCATCTGCCCCAGCCCCTTCCCCGCTGCTCCTCAGGGATCCTGTATCCCATCCACCCAGCCCCTCCTGTCTGCCCCTTCCCCCATCCCAGGACCTTCGCCCCCCTTCTGTCCTGGTCCATCCCAGCCCCCCTGGGGTACTGCCAGTCCCCTCCCCTGCATCCCCCCTGTTCCTGGCCTGCCCCCACCTGCTGCTAGGGGTACCAGGGGTCTGGTTTTTCGCAGGATCACCCAGTCAAAAAGGGATCCTGGTGCCTGTGGTGAGCAGGGCTGCTGGGCCTGGGACCATGCGGCTCCTGGAAAGCAGCCGGCATGTCCCTGCGGCCCCTGGGCAGGGGTACTGCCAGTCCCCTCCCCTGCATCCCCCCTGTTCCTGGCCTGCCCCCACCTGCTGCTAGGGGTACCAGGGGTCTGGTTTTTCGCAGGATCACCCAGTCAAAAAGGGATCCTGGTGCCTGTGGTGAGCAGGGCTGCTGGGCCTGGGACCATGCGGCTCCTGGAAAGCAGCCGGCATGTCCCTGCGGCCCCTGGGCAGCAAGGGTACCCTGAGCACCGGCTGGCGGGCACCGCCGGCAAGTGGGAGCGGCAGGGGTGGTGCCTGTGAGCAGAAGCAGCCCTGCCTGGGAGCCTGCACCCCAACCCCCCTCCTGTACCCCAGCCCTGAGCCCCCTCCCAAAACCAACCCCCTGCCTCAGTTTCCCTGGGTAGAGGGAGGGGCAGGGTTTGTGGATGGGGGGGGGG